GGCTGCCTTCCCAAAGTTGGTTTCTGCTTGGAAGCAGCTGCCTGGAGCCTAGAGCCATTTCCCATGGAAAACCCGCTCCAGATAATGGGCACTGTTTCTGCGCAGGCCTGTTTCATCTGGCTGGAACGCGGCTGAGGTGGCAGCGGGGCTTCTCAGGGGAGGAGGAGGTGGCTGGAGTTGCTGGCCGCAGAGCAGAAGAGCCATGAGAGCGCGCACGCGCGTGTGTGTGCGCGCGCGCGCATGTGAATGCGTGTGTGTGTGCGCATGTGTGCTCCCTCCCTCCCTTCCAGGAAGAATTGCAAAGCAGGCAAGAGAGTGAACGCTTGGGCTGCCTCACTGAGCAGGCACATCTCATGCATTTTTATTTTGTCGGGAGCCGTCCTGCAAAGGCTGCTGACCAGCTGTGTTGTGCAAATAAGACACGGAGGCCGTGGCAGGTAACCTGCCAAGGTCACTCCACTGGTCAGCAGGAGAGTATCCGCAGAAAAACAGTGGGGAGACTTAAGAAGAGCCCAGGTCTACCTTATACCACCCTCCCACCTCCAAGGGGCACGGCCGTGGTCCCCAGAAGCAAAGACCCAGCGTCCTGAGTGATCTTAGGGTGCCTTTTGGTTGAGAAGGCTGGCATGGCAAGGACTGCTGCGAGTGTAAGCAGCTTGCTCCTAAATCACCAGCCTGCCACTGTTGGATCCTGTGGCGACTCTTGCCGTGGCCTGTGAGTGATTTTTTATTTTTATTTTGAATTGGAGTCTCACTCCGTCGCCCAGGCTGGAGTGCAGTGGCACGCTCATGGCCACCCAGTGTCAACCTGCTGGGCTCCGGCGATCCTTCTGCCTCAGCCTTCCAAGTAGCCGGAACTGCAGGCGTGTGGTACCACACCCGGCTAGTTTTTTATTTTTCTTGTAGAGACAAGGTCTCGTCAAGTTGCCCAGGCTGGTCTCAGGCAATCCTTTCGCCTCAGCCTCCCAAAGTGCCGGGATCACAGGCTGAGCCACCGAGCCTGGCCTGTGAGTGGTTTCTAAAGAAATCTTGGTACCACGAGACCAGCTTATTTTATGGATGTGTGGGGCATGCCTCTTGACATCTTAAGGGACCTCCCCAGCTGCAAAGATGTCATGACCAGGGGCTTTTGGGGGTGGGGAAACATGCCTCTTGAGGAGACGTGGCCTTGAGCCTTTACAAGTCGGGGGTTCTCTGGACTGCTGCCCCACCCTGGCAGCCCTGCCTTGTCCTTGGGCTCGCACTTGCTCGCAGAGGGTCCTGCCTGTGTGACTGGTCTGACTTCTCCGTGGAGGGAAGGGGCTGGTCCCAGCCCTTGGCTGAGACAGTCACGCCTTGGCTCTCTGCAGGAGAGGCCAGCTCTGTGGCCAGCAGGTCGTCGGACTGTTGCTCAGAAATGCATGCTGAGCCTTGAGAATGTGGATTCACTCAGCGAGCATGTGCTCCGTGCCAGTACTGTTCCCGGCTCCAGGGTACAGAGAGGAACACAATGCTTGTCTCTAGCCTTTTGTGCATAGCAGACGTGTAGATGACCCCAAGCGTGACCGCAGGGTGCAGAGCTGGTGAGGCATGCCTAGGCCTGGTCCTGACTCATGAGAGGTGGGTGTGCTCCGGGGATCCCGGGTGTGTGTAGGGGACGCGTGGGGCCACAGCTCATGGCTGGAGAGGCCAGCAAGAGCTGCCAGAGGCTTGGAGAGCCAGCCAGGAGGCCCAGACTTAAAGGTCCAGCGAGGGCAGGCGGCGGCTTGAAGGTCCAGCGAGGGGGCCTGGATCCCCACCTCCGCCGTGAGCAGCCCCAGATCGGTTGTCTCCCCGAGGGCCTGGCCTGACGCCTGTGCTAGCCGTGGAGTCAGACTCATCAGGCAACCCCGAATGGAAAGGGCACCCAGACTCGGCTCCCTGTGGTCTCTGGGCTGTGCCCATGAGTGTGGGGCACGGGCAGAAGCAAGGGCCGCCACCCGCCACCTCCAGCCAGCTGCCTTGGCAAGCAGAGGGCATTTCCAACAAGACCCCAGGTGATTCTGCTGTGGGTGGTCTGGGCGATTGGAAGAGTCAGCTCGCGTCAGCCACCACATTCAGGAGTACATTTCTTATCTTGTTTTCTTTTGAGAAGAAAATAAAGAGAAACGATTCTCCTTTCCGAAGCCTTCCCACTTTGTGCTTCCTATTTATGTTGCTGCCAGCAGAGAATGGAAGCTTTACAGACAGCCTCTCCGTCTCTCTCTCTCCAGCAAACACCTCTTGCCCTTGGCCCGGGTCATCGCTCACCCCAGGCCAGGACAGTGGTGGGTGAGGGGCCATGGGGGGGCTCACCCGGCCTCTGCTACCCGAGAGACGAAGAAGAGAGGG